CATTCATAGGAAACGTGACAGCACTCATCAAGATGTGGTGTTTTTTAGAAGGCGTTTCATTGACTACGGTGGAAAAAAAAAGGTGAAGCAGAAGCGGGTGCCTTATATGGATCAAGATGTGGCATTTTTCAGAAGACTTTTTACTGCCTTCAACAGGAAAAAATGGTGATGCAGGAGCCACTAGCTAGCCGCTGCCTTATACGGGGGAAAATGTAATCAAACTATCTTGCCTTCATGGCAAACTGACCGACCGGGTGGCTACTTGTAAAGCATAAATAAACTGTGTTTAGCCTAGGCCCGCAGCCCATTGTACTTAAGAGTTAACCCTTCTCAGTAACTGTGACAGAAATAAAATGCCTTTATCAGAAATGTTCAAGTTGCACGCAGTTTTTTTGCCATTCTTTTATATAATTCTGCACTTTTGTCCGCGCAACCTAAATTGTAATTGGGCTTGCAAGAGTGCTATCAGGTTTACTTGCCCGGCTGATGACTCTTAGAAAAAATGAATATGGATCCCTGTAATGCAAAAAGAAAATAAATAATGCTCTGCTAGTGGGGTGAAATTGAAACTAATCCATGATTTTTTCCCTTGAACAACACAAACACTAACAGCTAATAACTTACAAAAATATTCTATGTAAACGAATATTTATTATGGGGGTAGGTTCAGAAAATCTCCCTACATGCCCCACACGAGGGCGAGGGGGGGGGGGGGTCTCAAAGACCACAAAATTAAAAGAAAAATATAAAGCTTAACTGGAAATTTACAGAGGGTAAGGGGCCTTGGGGAAGGTCCCTTACATGGAGAAAGTATGGGTATTTTCCTGGGATTACAATGTAAAATACTTAAAATACATTCATTCTGATGCGGTTAATGTGCAGGTCGTTTGCTTAGCATTAATGACGTCAGTAAATATCATCTTTCAGTAATGACAAATATTTCAATTATTTTTTATTATGAAGACCTGTGTGAATACATTAAAGCGGAGACCGTGATAGTAAAAATAATATTCAAATCCCACAAGCGATGTCAATATGTATATGTACTGTATCACTACAATCGGAAGAAATAAATGAAACATGAAAAACTCTCCCGTAATAAATGTAAAGTAACAACGCACTTTTATCGACGGGGAAAAATGATGACGTGTGTTTAAGGAACACTCCATGGACTAGTTCACAACAAAAACCTTTTCAAATTTGTAAACACTAAACACCCGAGTGAAATTATAACAATTTATATTTCCTGATGTACGCCCGGTAGATATGTTGCTAACCCTGAAAGAGCTTTTTCGATTTTTTGAAACAGATACAAATAATAACGCTATCCTCAACACAATATCACCAGAATTTCAAAATACCCTCATTTGGGCAAAAAAATCCAGCAACTTCGGACCATTTTCAACCCCCATTCAAGCTTCAAACTTAACAAAGGCGACCTGTTAAATTACTTATTGATAAGATTAAACACTATCAAAGGATATCTCACCTGATTTTGGCGCACAAAACACAGAGCCAAGAAGAAGTAGAATATTCCTTTCGGCATCCCTTGCACACTCGCGTTTCGCATTTTCGGCAGAGAGCTCCGCTGTTGAATACAAGCCCCAGAGGCGAGCGACATCTTGCACAAATGTGGGACGAACGAATTTCCTCTTCGCTGGCCCCTCTCTTCTTTATCTCATCTAGTTCAGTTTTTAACTTGCTACAGGAAAAAGGATTTGTCAAAAGAGGAAACAATTAACCCTTTCAGTAAATGGACAATTGCAAGACACTAGGATGAGTGCAAAGCAGAAATTAACATGCAAGCTGACCGTGTAAATAATTTACAGCACAATATACCTGATTCTCTTTTTTTCTTGCTTCCTTAATTCTTCGTCTTTTGAAAGAACTTGGAGAATTGTATCCCTTTCTGACTCAGTAAGGTAGTTCACATCAATATAAATATCATCCGACATAACGCTTTGTTGGACACCAGTACTTGGAGCTACTTGGCAAGTGGTGAACTTTCATGAAGTCGTTTGATCTTTGATGCATAAAACCGAGAAAAGGACAATGGCCTCAATCGTTCCTGAAATTAAAATGCAGGAATCTTACTAGCGTTGAGACGCATTTACGCATCTCCGGACGCTGAAGTTACAGGAAGTGGACCCTGCGTAGAGGAAGAAGAAAAAGTTAAACAACAAAGAATTACGACCCCATATTTATTGTCAAGGTCAGGCGCGCGTTGGGCCTTTGGCGGGGTTAAATTACAAATGCTCTTGTGAACGTCACCGTCACACCAAAAATTTGTTTACCCCCCCCTTTCCGGGTAAGGCCGGGGGGGAAGTATTTCTTGTCCTTCACCGCCCCCCCCCCCACTCCCCCCCAACCCCATGTCTCTAATCTGAACCTATCCTTTTATTGCCCTTTCACAGACTGATCACATTCGAATGTTTTGAAAAAAGTCAGTTGTAAACATGCAGGCTGTCATATGGTTGTGGTATTGAGGCAACTATTTTAAATTTTTGTAAATACATTTTTATATTATGGCTATTTGTATCAACGTTTAACTATTGTTCTTGAGGATTAACGAGACAAGAAGTTTTGATTTTTTTTCTGAATAAGCTGAATGTTCTATGTTGCGTGTTTATGGCGATTTTACTTAACCCGTGAAATGGGTAGTAGAATAGTACGCACTATTATACACTAATTCTTTTGTCATCTTTTGTTTCTTAGTAACTATTTTGCACTAGTTAATAACTGATTCAAGGGTCAAGTAATATGTAGATTTAGCCAGCGCTAAAAGCGACGCTCCCATTAAGAAATTTATAATTTAAATCAAATAATAAACTTGAACATTTCACCTGCAAAAAAAAACACATGTCTGGTATCAAAAAAGGTTTGGTGGCGGGGCCTGGCGTTCCCATGGAATCCATGGTGGCAGTGAAATTTATTTTACAATTCCTCGCGGAAACAGTCATTTACGTAAATTTCCCTTTTCATCCGTCCACACCGTCTCCTGGAAACCGAAGTTTTTAAAAAAATATTTCCACTCTGGAGGGCATTTTCGTTAAGTCTCCTCTTGGGTGCCCTTTTTTATCAAATACACCTTGGAAGGTGGAAGGCCAATAGGCCAATTACTAAGATCAAAATACAACGACTGGTAATAATTGGCAATTATTGAATGAGGCTGAGTAAAGTATGAAGAATTCTGCAGATCGAGGAGGATGTTATCCACCAAGGCCTATTCTCTCGCGCCCAAAACCCCCTTTCCCTTCCTTTTCAAACGCCTGCCACGCAGACTAGCTCGGGCGGGCAGACGTACTAATACGGCAACGAGACTACCAAAAAAAGCAACCAAATATTCTTAGCTATAGGCCACTTGAACATCTACCATAATGCACCTTATTTGCCCCCCAAAATTTTGCATAAGCATTGTTTTCAATTTCTCTTGGGACGGTTGCAACACCCAGGAGAAATAAAGGTGTATTATGGGAGATGTGTAAATGTAGACTTTCAAAAAGTACTTCGTCGCAGTCGACTTGTAGCAAGTCTAGTGTAGATGGTGTATGGGGCTCCGCTATAGTACACATAAGTAATATCCCACTTCTATAAAATAACGAGATATATTACACCAACTCCCTATATAACTTTATTTCTCAATGTAGGACACCTGACTAAATTTTGGGCGACAAAACTTTGGGCGAAATTAGTTTCGGGCGACCGGTTACCGCCGCTCCTAAGCAAGAGAACATCTCAGTCCATTCTCTTGGATTTAGCCACATAGTGAGGGTGCAAGTTTTACTTCCTAACATATCCTAGTTTTCAAATGTTCCCCTAGCATGATGATGGGTTGAATACCAAAATAAAGCCTGCCTGGCAGGCGCAAAAAGGGGAGGAGGGGGCGGGGAGAAAAGCGCGAAAGGGAATCCCAATCCCCCTCCTTTTTTCTCTTTCTTCCAATCCTGTGCCGCTTTTTACGCCTGCTGCTCAGGCTAAACAGTATAAGACGAAGTTTTTCTTTCGACTTTAATTTGCCTTCTTTCCCCTCCATTCCCCTGCCCAGTGTTTGTGTTCGTGTTACCGTATTTATTCGAATAAGCGCCCAACCTCGAATTAGCGCCCACCTCGAATAAGCGCCCATCCTAAAGGCAGAAAAAGTTAATAAGCGCCCAGCCTCAAATAAGCGCCCACCCCAACCCCACCCCCTTTCACCTCCCAACCGAAAAAAATTGAAAAAGTACTAATAAGAGACTTGCCCCCGAAGATAGACTACGAGTAGTCCCCCATTCTTCCTCAGGGATAGTATAGCGAGCAAAACGCGAGCGCGCGTGAAAACCAACCCACGCGAGAAAAGGCGACACGCGGCGGGAGAGAGAAAGCTTGGCCTTGTCTGTAGTCCCTCATTTTTCTCTCTCCCCGCCGCGTGTCGCCTTCTCTCGCGTGGGTTGATTTTCACGCGCGCTCGCGTTTTGCTCGCTCTACTATCCCAGAGGAAAAATGGGGGACTACTCGTAGTCTACCCCGAAGACGGAGTTTTCTGCAGAGTATTTTACAGAAACCTTGCTTTGTTACATCTTCGAGTTTTGTTATTACAGTCAACTCTCTCTAAGACGGACACCTTTGGGACCGGCACTATGTGTACGTCTTAGAGAGGTGTCCGTCTTAGAGAAAGTCAAATAAAGGGAGTAAAGAAAGGCAGGGACCAACTTTAAGTGTCCGTTTTACAGAGGTGTCCGTCTTATAGAGGTGTCCGTTAAGAGAGAGTCGACTGTACCATTAATTGTTTTGTTGCAAAAAAAACATATTACATTTTTTGAAATTGTGAAAATTTAATAAGCGCCCACTCTCTAATAAGCGCCCAGGGCGGTTAATCGAATAAATACGGGTATGCGCGGTGTTGTACGTTCCACTGTAGAAACCGAGAGAAATCTGGGATCGAACTGACTGGGAGGTTGTCGATCGCCATTTTGGTTTTACACTTCTTCGCCAAAGCAAGAAAATCATAATGATGCTTCGGACAGGAAGTGCAGCTCTGAAGGTCAACTCCTCGTTGACTAGGCCAGTAAGTTCTGCGCTTGTCATCTTGTTTTGCAAAATAAGCATCGTCACTAAATTCTTTTATTTGGAAGGCTGTTTGTACAGAGTACAGTTATGGCTTCGATTGTATGGATGGAAGCAAAGTTGTTGTGAACTAATAGCTAGTCTAGAATGGATCTGATCATGTTACTTACCTTACAATCTACCTGTAGATTATTTCTAACGTTTACTGCTCTTTAGAATGCGAAGTGGACCTAAGCGTATCTCACTTAGCATGCATAAAATCTTCTCATTTTAAGTTAGATTTTGGAGATTAAGCATATATTTCAAAGCGTCGTATCTGTCTGATGGATATTAGACCTAGCTAAAACACTGCCAGTTCGCCTACTGCCAATTCAAGCTGGTAAAGGTGTCAGACAATTCGACTTAAGCCAGAAAAATCAACATTATTAGGGAAGAGAACCAGTGGAAGAACAAAAAGCTCAAGTTTTGTCCTATCAGAAACTCATAAGGGGTTGAAACGTGTAACTGTCATTGCCTAGTCCCTGTATGTGCAGCGTTTTTCAGTCCTTCTTGATCAATTCACTTTGGTGACGTATCTGAGGCGAACGTGCAGGAAATGCCTAGACAAAAACAAAATGCAAATGCATGCGTGCCTTGCTTTTTGAAATCTAAGATGTTGTAAACAGCAGGAAATTACAGTTTTTAAAAATACCCCTTTGGATATTTGCGATATCGACTTTTGATGACCAGCTTTGAAAAGTCATCAGAATGTTGTTCAAAGTCCTGTGAAGATTGATGTCTGCTCCTTCAATATCTCATCATTCCAACTGAACTATCGGAGTTTGTAGCTCTTAACCCATTTAAATGACCACGTGAATTTTCAAAGTAAAACAGAAGCTCCTAAGTAAAAACAATACTTTAGTGACCCTCTGTGTAGTAAACTTAGAGTGCAAATCTTGAATAATCAGAAAAAACACACTTTCAAATAAACTTCATTAGCGACAGGTTGAAGAGTGCTCAAAAACCAGGAGCCTACAAAAAGTGAACCCAAAAGTAAAAATCCTTTGAAATTTGCCGACATTCGCAAAAATGATGTGTGTAATATGAGAAGCATTAAATTGCATGAAATTGATGATGTAGTCTCAGGATCGTGTTTTGAGTTAATGTTATCAATGATAAAACACAATTGTTATTTGCGTAATGTAGAGCAAGGTCCAGGTCAAGGGATACTCCTAGTAATTCTTGGTGGGGGTTCCCTTTGCAGCAGTTCTCCAAATCCTGACCCTATTTCAGACAAAAAAATGCTATTTTTTCACACCCATTTTCAGTCCAGGCCTCCAAAATCCATACCTGTTTTCCAACCTCACCTGGAGAATTTTTGTGAGGGTATTGGAGGGGTTACAAACATAACATGCATGTTTTTATTAAATCATGCTATCATCACTTAGATAAGACTGCCAACAACCAAAAAAATTGTTAAAATTCAGGTTGAATGATTATTTTGGTTTTTACCTTACCGTCAAACTGGCAAAACCATGAATGCTTGAAATAATTATTTCAGTAAAGTTTATTGTATTACGTCCAATCACAGCAAAGATCGGGACACGCAAACTATCGGTAGCTACAAAACCACAAACTTATTAACGTTCTTGCTTGTGGTTTAGTTTCTCATGCCCGATTGGCTTTTTTTTGGCAACATATTAACATTCCATAAATATTTCTGGTTTTTACAGTTTTCCCAGTTTGACTGTAAAATGACAAAATAATACAATACTTTATTATACATTCTTGTGGCTCCCTTGATTTCAAACCAAAATGGGCAAAATCTATACCCTTTGGGACTTATATGGCACATATATGGGAGTACCCCTCCCCCACCCCCCAGAGAATGGTTTACATTACAACTATTTAATAAGTTATTCCATAAAAAGAGGGTCTTCAGAGATTACCAGTACAGTTGTATTTACCTTACCTTTAAAATTTAAACGTAGGTACAGTTAGTAGTTTTATTGCTATCCTAACCCTTGCACATCTCACCTTTATGAAGTTTTCTTGTTTTTAGGTATTTGAATTTCATGGCATGGTACATGTAATTTTGTGATTGATATTAGACCATGCTGAAGTTGACTGACTGCTAAGTCACTATCAGTTTGCCTGGTGCCAATTTGATCAGCTTAAGTTGTTTTGCCTGCAGATTCGACCTAAGAAACAGGGCAGAAAACCAGCAAAAAGAACTAAATCTAAATAAATCATCTATATAAAGTACTTACAAAATACCTGAAATGTTTTCAAACCCTCAGATGCTGTCAGTTGTTCCAAGAGGGTGTCATTTTGTTGCATGATATTACATTTGGAGGCCAGCAAACCAACAGTGAAAAGGCCATTTCTGAGTTGCCTCAAGGCTCTGTTTCCAAGCGAGGCTAAGTGCAAGGCCATTGATATGAAAATGATTTTTTATTCTCATGCAAATAAAACTTATTTTCACCACAAAGGTTTTGCAGTTAGCCTGGTGTTGAAAGTTAGAGTTTTTGGAGCTTGCAAATGGCCTAATAACAGGCAAATTCAGCATGGTTATTACACTACATTATTTTCATTGTAAGCAGAAATGACAGTATTACATGTACATGTATAAACTCTGTACACTTTATAGATAAAATAATATGAGCAGTAGATCTGTTTGGGTGTTAGCAATGGCTAGCCAAAGTTGAGCCATCATAAAGCCCATAATAGACAAACCTGTGCAAATATTTTATCATCCATGTGAAAATTTAATCAATCAGTAGAGATCTGGATCAAAATAAATTAGTTTACAGAGGTGTACATGTGTCTCAAACACTACCTATTGATTGGTCATACATAACTTTGAAGTATGGTTAGTGAATTTTACAAAGTACGGTACAAAGTGCAGTATAGTAGATCATCTCCATTGAGGTACATTAAGAATTCAGACAGAATCCATCAGGAAATTGCGCAATTTTAATTCTCAGTGGACGAAAACCTTGTACCACAAAAATTTACATAATATCCGGTCTTTTTTACGTTTTTCAAGGGCCATAGATGCAATTAGTTATCTGTAATAACACCAAAGAAAATTCCTTGTGAGAGCCCTAGAAAATAAATGTCAAATTTCACAAAGTTAATGACACGCCTTACTCATGAAATTTTCAGAGTTTTACCTGTGTTTCACAATTCTTGTGAAATTTGATTATGTTCTCAGGCACCCATGAGAAGAAGTCTTTGGTGTTAAAAATATTACAGATAACTTATTATATCTATAGCCCTTGAAAAATGTGAAAGAGAGTGCAATCTTGGTTAAAATTTAATCATTTAACCATTTAATTATTCTGGTAGAAGGTTTTTGCCCAGTGAAAATTGAAATTACTCAATTTCCTGATGGATTTTGTCTTGAATCTTCTTCAGTTTCTAGGATTACTGGTCACAGCAACTAGAGGGCTTGCAAGTCAAGTAAAGGAAGCAGAATTTGAGTTATCAGTAAGTCATGAAACAACTGATAATAAACCTCTACGAGATAAAACCCCAGCATATTGAACAAAATTCTTTGCCAAGTTGCGATATATTGGCTTTCATTCATGGAGCAAGATGCTGAGATAATGTTATTTTTTGTTCTTGTATGGGCACTTCGTTATATATAGTAGAGTTCCACCACATTTGACATGGTGCTCATGTGTATTGTTTAACCTTCCACCAATCCTGAATGGATGAGTGACAAGGGATTTCATCTTGGAGTTTGCATATCATATTCAGGCCTACATCATGATCAGTGGCTTCTACTGGTAACTAAATGCTTCAACTGTATCTGCATTGTCTCTTAAAAGTATGAGACTAATGTTCATAGCTAAACGTTCATGAGAGTCTCCTGTCATGGTAATGAAGGTAGCCTTAACAAAGCCAAGTGGTTTCCCCATTTTTCTAGGTAATGTTTTTCAATGGTTTCTGAATGTGAAAATTTTATTTGTACTAACTCTTTTTCACAAAGCTTGTGGGTGTCATCTTTTTTGGTTTATGTTTTTTTTCTAGATGTGCGTGAATAACAATAATAATTATTGTTATTATTGCGTATAATAGTAATAATATTATAATATTATAATAGTGCGTATAATGATAATGTAATATTGCTGTCTTTCAAGGATTGCCCAATACATAGATTGGACAGTGGTCCACCTAAGAAGGCTGTGTTGACCAGGGAAGATGGCCTTACATACTACAGACAAATGCAGATCATTCGGAGAATGGAAACGGCTGCAAGCAACCTGTACAAATCCAAGGTTATCAGAGGCTTCTGTCATCTTTACTCAGGACAGGTAAGATATATTATTATTCATTCAAAATATTTCCCCTTTTTTATGGGCTTCAATCCCCCAGCTAATTCTTCATAACTAACTGGTGCTTACCTTATTTGGAAGATTCGAGCAATATACCATTGATTCAATGGTCTAAATTAGCCGAGTTGGCTATAATCATCTCATATCCAACAAGCGGGAGTGGAATAATTGTTTTATTAAAAAACCCCACAAAATATTGAGAATTCTTACTGACTTTATTAACAACAGATTTTCAGCTTGTTTTAAATTTTGAGCAGACACGTACAGGTACCTTATTTGGAGAGCATGGTATAATGGTTTTTATTAAAAACTGAATCATTGGATAATGCAATTCTAGAGCTCTGATTGGCTTAGCCATCATGGTATATGAGGAACGTGTTGCTACTAAAGTGTTGCTACAATTTTCTTTCAGGAAGCATGTTGTATTGGAATGGAAGCTGCCATTGACAAGGATGATAGTATTATTACCGCATATCGATGTCATGGCTGGACGTATATGAGAGGCGTGCCAGTTGCTGAGATACTTTGTGAACTTGCCGGTAAGCACAACTTTTTTAATATTCCTTCCTTTTTTACATAGTTGCACTTGAACAGACTTTTTCAGCCAATTTGGATTGCGCCAGGTATTGCATATGAGGTGTTTGGTTGGAGCGTTATCTGTAGCTGTTTGTGGGTCAAATTTATAAGATTTGAGTTGGTGTGGTAACGTCCCGCTACATATTATATCCAAACCTGCTGAACAGACTAAAAAGAATTTAAAAAATTGCATTCCCTCAAATCTGAACCTTCCCAAACGAAATGGTGCAAACCATTTGATTTTCCAATTTGTGGGATTTCCAGTTTTCCCATATAAACATGGTAAGTACCCAAACTATTATTATTATTATTTCTTGTTGAAGTTGGGGGGGGGGGGGGTGGGGGGTTAAAAAGTGCCTGGTAAGCAAGGTTGGGGAAGAGGAGGAGAAGCTGTAAAAGGGTTTGCTTTTTTAGGAAATTCTCAAGGGGAGGAGAAAAAAAGGCGACATTTGGACCAGGCGATTTTAATGATAGAGAAAAGTTTTTCACCACCCCCACAAAAAATATAAAACAAACCCAATGAAAAAAAAAAAAAAAAATAAAAAAATTTTCTTCCCAAAAATCCACACCCACACAAAAAAAATGGGAAAAACCTTTTTTTTTTTTATTTTTTGGATTTTCTTTTTTTCCCAAAAAAAAATGTAAAAAACCAAAATTTTTTTTTTTTTTTTTTTTTTTGGGGGGGGGGGGGGGGGGGTGGGGGGTTAACAAGTGCCTGGTAAGCCATGTTTGGGAAGATGACAAGAAGCTTGCATATGGTTTGCCTTTTTAGGAAACTCTCAAGGGGCAGTAGAAACAAGGCAGCATTTTGACCAGGCGATGTTAACTATAGGCAAAAGTTCTACAAACTCCTTAGCTCCTCAGCCAAAACAGCAAATGAATTATAACCTCTGAAAAGTTTTATAGTGGAAAGTGCACTGTCTCACTGTTAGTAGCTTTATACATTGTACTTGATTTCAGCTAGTTTACAGGCACTCCACTCAAGTAGGTAGAAGCAAGTATTTCAAATGTAACATAACAGGATTAAAACCCCTCAACTGGCGGGAGGCAACCAGTTGGCTATTTACAAGCAAGGCTGAGGATTTGCCATGCTGCCTTCATGATATACAGTGTAAGCCCATTTGACAAAAAGACCACTAGACATTTTGATAGGAACGGTTTTTAAAGCTGTATTTGAAGCTGCAATGGCACCTTTCTACTATGATTTAACCCACATCAAAATGCAGTAGCAAAGAATCCTGAATTGAACTGAATACATGGCTTTATCGCAATTATGCCACTAGACAGCCAACCACCTTGCCAAGAACTAAAAAAGGCAATGAAATGAACTTAAAATCTGTGTTTAAAGATTCTGGGGTATGCATTTACTTTTCGGAGAAGAGGTTATGTTCTTAGCCATACCTTTTTATTACTCAATACCATCTGTGCTAAAGGTACATCATATGGATTAAGACTACAGCTATAATAATTATTGTTGGTTATAATAAAATAGCATTTTTTTTCACCTTCAGTTGAGTTTAGTTGGAATTCAGTAATATTATTGTTTGCTTTAAGGTCGCAAAACTGGGTGTTCCAAGGGCAAGGGTGGCTCTATGCATATGTATGGTCATGAATATTATGGTGGAAATGGCATAGTTGGAGCTCAGGTGAGTATAAATACATGTATATAATTTATTAACTGTTCATTGGGGAGCATCCTACGTATGGAGCCTAGTGCACTTTTAGATGCTTCCCTCTCCTCCTACACTAATTTTTTCAGTGTACCGGTATATGTTTATACTTTTACTTACTGTATTGGAGAAAACTGTAATAAATTTCTGTTTTTTAATGGTATTTTCTTTTAGAAGAACCACTCCTTGTTGTTCAGTTACAGTAGCTATTCTATTGATTTGTTTATGAATGTGGTTCCAACAACATTGAGTTGCCATTTTTATAGTCTTAAGTTTCTGTTTCATCCAGACAAAATAATTACAAGAGAAACCTTAAAGCAAGTAACACAACCCATGACACGGCCAGTATATGTACCTTATGCAAGCGCACAGCAAAGCATAAACTACAGGACGTAGGCTATCGCTTGGTGTGAGTGAGTGACTTGCTTTAAGGTTTCTCATTTCAAATTGTATTAACAAATTATATGGTTTAAAGTTCACATGAAGACGGTTATTTTTGAAACACTTTAAAGGTTCCTCTAGGAGCTGGAATTGCCCTTGCTCACAAATACCGAGGGAATGGTAAAATTTGCATTGCTCTTTATGGAGATGGTGCTGCAAATCAAGGCCAGGTAAAGATACTTTATAGACGATTTGAATTTATTCATTTTAGTTTTCAAACAATTTAACCTCTTGGAGGCGGACAGGGTTTTAATAGAAGAAGTCTACTACTTATGAATCTACTTCAGGGTGATGTTGGGACTTGAATTTGTGACTTTTGGATTGCAAGTCGGATATGCCAACAAGCTTCACAGCCTCCCACCTGCCTAGCCAGCATTCAAATAATTGCATCTAAGTTACAATGTAATGCCGAAAATGTGGCTGTCGCAGTCACTGAATGTACTGAGTATTTTAATGGTCTTAAATTACACCAGCCCATATCAAAAGTGCATACATTTTCTAGTTTGATTTATAAGGTACACAGAGTTTTGTAGCTTGTATAAAATATTTTGCTGTGTCAGTAGGGGCTTTACTGATTAAGGACGTCTGGAAAAAAAAACTAAGGTTGATATTGTGGACTGACATGACATTGTCAATATTGATTTAAATTATCAATATGGTAGACCATTGTATAGCTGTCTTTCTTGTTATTGATAACATAAGGGGTACAGGAATTTTCAAAATTTCTATGGTTAGTCTTGGTCTTGACAGACCTGTTAAAGATGACCAATCCTACAAGTGGACAATTTTTCAAAAATTTTCTGCCTCTAGACCGAAGCATTTCATTTTTGCTTTAATCAATTTTCCGGAAATTTTTAGTGTAATGGAAAGCACCTTAAAAAATGCTAAAAAAATACCTTATGTGTGGCCATAGGTGTTTGAAACTTACAATATGGCCAAACTGTGGGATCTGCCCTGCATCTTTGTTTGTGAAAACAATGGATATGGAATGGGTACATCTGTTGAGCGAGCTGCTGCCACCACTGAATATCATACAAGAGGAGATTTCATTCCTGGAATTAAAGTTAGTAAACAAATTTGACCACTTCTTTCCTTTTCGTCCTTACCTTTAAACAAGCTTCATACAGAGTGTTGCAGAATTCTTGAAAAGGTCATAAAATTTGCAAAGCACTTTTCCAGTCTGGAAAATGCTAAAAACCAAAAAAAAGGTACAACAAGTGCTCAGTGTTGGAGTAAAAAATTTCTCCCGTGGTCAAATCGTATACAATCGCTGAATGAGAAGTTTCCGCTTAAGTCTCTTATTTCCTCATTGCACAGTGCATCACGAGAAAATCCTTGGGTCAATTTGATAAAGCTTATACACGTGTAATTCACAAGAGTGGCTATTGTTCTCAGACTGTAAAACAATGGCTACACTTGTAAATTACACGTGTAAAAGTTTTATTCAATTGACCCCTGGTGTCAGCGTTTCAAGGCCCGTTTTGATCACCTATTTGATAGTCTTGAGTCTGGAAAAAGAAATTGTCGTTTTCTTTTGGAAGAAAGGTGTGGAAAAATTCTTAATATGTTGGTTCCAAAAATTTGTACGAACCCTGTTTAAAGATCAGAGAAAACTACTCGCCCACGACTTGTATTTAAAGAGTTTTGAACATTTTGACGTTATTTCTTTGATTTATAAGAAGACAGTCAATTGAAAGTTGTTGTCGGTTTGTTTGACATTATTTTTCTCGCTGAACTGATTCTGGTTTACTCACTGAACAGGTCGATGGTATGGACATTTTAACAGTGAGGGAGGCAACCAAGTTTGCAGCAGATTTTACAAGATCAGGAAAGGTACAAAGGACTAGACTAGACTGCTTCAATCATGTTCAAACTTTGTCAGAACGATAAAGACGATAAAATAACGGGCAGAAAGAGGTGTACAGATAATGGATATAAGAGGGTGAGGGTTTGGACCTCGGGGCGGAGTTGCGGAGTTTCCTCGTATAAAATTTTGCTGACTAACCTTCCCCTCCGCCCCTCGGATTTTAAAGTTTGCAAGTGTGTCTTCACCATCACGTTTTTTGGAGAACGTAAACAAGCAACGTTTCTTTCTGAACTTGGAAATGGTCCCTCGGAATTCAACTTCAGGAGGTTCGCCTGCATTTGACAGAGTAAGTGGGTAGGAATAATTGAGATCAAACCTGAAAGAACGAAAGTTCACTTTTTAAGCGACGTTCTCGATGACATCGCGTCATTGGATCTTAAAGCTCCCATTATGTCGCCCAATCTGTATCGACTGAAGGAGTAAAAGATTAACTATATTAATTTAAATCCGTTTTTACATGTATTTATTTATTTACATACTTTTTTGGCAGGGCCCAATCGTGATGGAACTAACGACTTACCGTTATTACGGGCATAGCATGAGCGACCCCGGCACAAGGTATTTTGAAGAGGCTGTTTCCACAAAATTGTATTGTGTTTACACATAAGGCACTCGATATGTAACCGTGTACATTTTTATTAGATATTTGGCGTTTTCCAGTACCACTTTTAAACATGAGCGTAGCAGGGAGTCTTAGGTTTCAGTGAAGTGGATTGCCTCAAAACTAACAGAAAACATGCGCACGTAGGCTGCCCAAATTAGTGTCCGAGCACCAGGTCTCGAGCTTGTACTCGGGCTCCGCCACCTTACTCCAATTGTGACCAAAGGGTGAACAAAGTCTCAGAGTTTCACAGTACTCCTACACGAGCAAGCTTCCCTTGTCAAGGAAAAAAATGTCCAGTTTTTGAAGTTGCTAGTGTAATCAGCTTAACTTTAGCACTTAGGTTTAGTTACTCAATTTGAGTAACCACAAATTAGCATAACTGTCATCCATGGACATTACAGTTAGAACGAAGTCTTGTTGTATCATAAACAGAGCTACAACAAAATATTTCGCAGAACTTCTTATTTGAATGTTTTCACTTGAGGAAATTACTCGGGCCTGGAGGTATTCACCAAAACTCTGCTGGCTGAAAAAGTCTACAGTTTCTAACGAAATATATTTTGTATTTGTTCTTTGTTACAGCTACCGGTCACGTGACGAGGTGCAGTCAGTGCGTAAGACACGTGACCCAATCTCTGGATTACGTGAAAAACTGCTGGATTCAGGGCTCGCGGACGTTGATGACATAAAGGTAAAAAGATTGTGTCATCTAGTGTACAGCACACCGCTCTTTCTGACAAAGAGCAGCGCTCGAAACTTCAGGGTTTTAACCTCTTTTGAGCCGCTTTCTTACTTAAGAATATCCTAAAGTAAAACGCTCTCTCGTGTTTGAATATTTATTTTGTGTGTTTGCAAAAGTTCATTTAAGTTTCATATTAAACAGTTAACAATCGCTTCATTAATATTATTTGACTTAATATCAAAGCGTACATTTTTTTTGAAATTGTGCGCTGATAGTAACAAAAGAATTTGTAGCACTCAAAGTTTAACATTTTGCTTTCCTTCATTGAAAATTTTATTTTTACGTTTCTTTTTCAGAGCATTGAGAACGAAGCTAAGCAAGAGGTAGAGGCAGCCGTGAAGGCTGCCCAAGGTGATCCCGACCCTACCCTGGACGATCTCTTCTTGGATGTGTATGCTGATGATAATATGGATGGGCATAAGATACGGGGATGTGATAACTGGTCTAGAAATGTTACCAATTAAATACGAGATTTACTGCCTATCATGAGCGAGCTTGCGAGTTTTGCACGTTTGGTAGCTGATTTAAGCCTTGACTAAACAACAGTAGCATTCAAGAGAAAACGGTTTTGATTTTTATCAAATTTAATAGAAAGTTAAGTGAAATTGAACTTCTTGGGAACCTTCGAGAGTTACTTAGGGTGAGTGAGACATTTAGGCCAACCAACAGCGAGATTTGTCTGAAGAAGGGAATTAGCTGGGAAGCTGCAATCTAACAATTCGTTGCTATTTTAAGGCTGGTTGCCTTACGATCAATGTGATACATGTTTAAGCGTCCGATCGTAGTGGCCGTCTCGCTCGTATGTAAGTAAGGCTCTATAATTTTTGAGATAAATTTTGACTGTGTGGACAAAGAAAATATCTGAGTAGCAAACAAGTTGCTTAGGGAGTATCGAAGCATAACATTTTATAAAAATATCTGACACTATTAGTTGTTTACTTCTTAGTTAGTGCTTTCGCGTGCATCTGTAAGCTTAAACACTGATTTAGCAGGCGAAACACTGTTTAATTATAATGCCATTTAGATTTCCTCAAATTTGAAACCGGAAAAATAAAGTTCCAGTGAGGGCAGGCACTAGGCTGCGAGCTGTTGTTTAAGTGAAGGTGAAATGTGTTTGCAAAACACAAAACACGTGTCGATGCAGAAATTATTTTTATAACCGATTTGATTATTGTTTGTGGTGATTTTGTGGCAATCTCGGTGATCAATTAAAACGAATATCCAAGTGAATTATGATCGCAGCCTGTATTAAGTACAGATATAAAACGTACCCTAAGCGGAGAGTCTGCTATGCGACGGCAATTTCTGTTTGAGTTGTATGTAATTGTTTACAGACTCTCCGCTTTCCCTACAAAATTAGGTTATTTTGTAAATTTTGAGAAGTGGCGTTTTCTTTCTTTTTATTGTGATAAATGAAAAGAAACGTTTATGTAGCAATGTCACTATATATATTATTTCTGGAAGTTCAGCATAACACTCTTTTGTTGCTACAACTAGTAACTTGCAATGGTTCCAGAACAAGACTCGCGCTGTGTTATTTATAGACACATATCTATGGTTTGGTTAGAATATAGGGGACATATGAGAATCAGAATTTTAGAAGAAGCTCTCGACTCATTGCGTCGCCGCTGTAAACTGTTTAGTGTAATTTAGGAAATAATGGAAATAAAAGAGACTAGTCTGTTTCACGTAAAAATCTTCAAGTTGGGTTGGTTGTTTTGTAAGATTTGTTGTTTTCGTCTGGTGTGGGCATGAATCGTACCCATTTGCCCTCTCTTACCATTAGTACGCGGTCGTGCATCGGTTACCCTGGGTGCCAGAGACTTTTCATGCGCGGTTTCCGGTTTCGGTCAAGTCTTAAAAAGTGACCGGCGCGAAAAGCTTTTTTCTCTCGGCTTCGCCGCTCGTGTCTTCGGCCGAAGGCCGAGGCGGCCGAAGAAGCTCCTCGTCACACGCGAGAAAAAATCTATGGTACACAGGGTACGGATCGATTGCTTGTGACAAGGAGGCTGGAGCAATGACGACGACGGCAGAGAGAGCGTCAAAAAACAGTTTATTTTAAGAGAAAACAGGTCTCTCTGGCATCATGCTATTTGGAATTGGGGCTTGGTACGTTTCTCTGATGACCGCTCCAGAAAAATTCGCCTTCATTTGAAAAATTGAGCGGTTGCCAATAAACCCCAGAGAGTTTGGAAGGACACAAATTCATCGTTCTGGGGACTTTTTTGCAGCTCCCATGGCATCGTCGTGGTCGCATGAGCTTCTTTCCTAGTACGGCATCTTGAAGAAGGGGATCTCCTACGCGCTTCCTTCGATAATTTACGAGACATAAGAGATCAGAGGGGCCGAATCGGTCACAGGGCTTAAGGATCACAAGAATCACTCGTAGACAGCGTAGTAGTATAGTAGTGATCGCTAAGGCGCCGTTTTGAGACAGGAATATCCACAAGCTTCTTTGATGTGCAGGCGCGGTCTCGTGAAATTTATAGTTATGTCTGCAGATTTCGCACAGCCTTTTCAGCAAGTTTATAAGTATCAATTCTGACAAACTTTGAGATGCTAGACATACGAGGTTTTTCGATGTATGATAAAAAAAGTTATTAAAAAAAAGTCAGAACGTGGATTTTTCATCAGATACCCAAACGCAAATAGCTTTTCTTAAGTAATAGTTATTACATAGTTATTTTTATCTAATTTTCCTAATATATGTAGATGTAGATGTAGATTGGCCGTTTAGGCCATATGTACACTGTAGCGGATACGGATCAGTTTAGGTTTCTGGGAAACTGCCCACCTACCCCTCCCCGAAGCCAACATTATCACTTACTTCTCTCTTGGGGCAAAATGTTAGCTTAGGAGAGGGGTAGGTGGGCAGTTTGCGGTTACTTTTAAAACGTCGAGATACACAGGAAGAACAGTTTTGATACAGAAAGATCCAGTGAAGGGCAACCAGACCAGTAACTATCGCCCTCTTGCCTACACATGATGTCAAGCTTTCGACACGAATCCTGGGAGAAACGTTAAACCAACATCTGGAGAGGAATGGACTGCTAGTAGATGAACGGAAGATCTGTAGAAAGGGAATCCAAGGAACAAAGGATCGATTGCTTGTAGATGATTTGAAGAACTGCTGGAGAAGGCTGACAAACTTATCAATGGGTTTGACAGATTATAAGAAGGCCTATGGTATGGTGGTACATTCGTGGATCCTAAAATGCGTGGAGATGGTTGGGGCAGCAGCCAAGAGTATGATCTCTAAATTCAGCAAAGGCATGGTGAACTGTAAGACACTGTCAGGTGGAGTGGAGCTTGGGCAGGTTGACATCAGAAGCGGAATCGGATCAATTTAGGTCTCTGGGAAACTGCCCAACTACCCCTCCCTTAAGTCAACATTAGCACTTACTACTCACTTAGGGCAAAATGTGGAGGGGTAGGTAGGCAGTTTCCTAGAAACATAAAATTGATCCGAGGAATCATTCAAGGAGACTCCTTGTCACCCTTGCTGTTTATACTAGTCACGTTGACACCGACCCAAGTGTTACGAAAGATGAGAGCTTGATACAGACTGACGAAGGACAAAGCCCATCAGCCATGTATTGTTCATATATGATTTGAGGTTGAATAGAGCTAAAAAAAAAAAAGACCATCTTGACTCACTTGCTCAAGCGGTAGGGATTTTCTCAGAGGAAATCAAGAAGTCGTTTGCGTTAGACAGGTGTGCTGTCATGAAAATGAGAAGAAAGAAAAAGAGTAAGGAATGTGGATAGCAGTGGAATTTACCTACCAAATTATTACCAACGCAGCGGGGAAGTTAAGGAAGAGGGCTAGCTACAGCTAGACACCTTAGCTTAATATTTTTCAGTTGAACCAGTCTCTCAATACCAAGATGAAAGGCAAGACAACAGTGGAATATATTGGAAGATTCAAGAAGCTGTGAGGATCCAAGGTGAATGGCGAAAAACGTATTAATGGCATCAATGCCTGGGCTGTAGGTGTAGTACTCTACAGTGCAGGTATCATGGATTGGACAGTAGAAGAGCTGGTCAGCATGGGTAGAAAAACTTGGAAGATACTGGCAATGAATTGCTCTACGCACACCAGAAGAAATGTTGGCAGACTGTATTTACCGAGTAAGGGAGGTGGGAGGTTGATTGACATTTCGGAGTGTGATGTGATCAAGAACAAGAACAAGAACAAGCTTTAAGAACTAATTCGGTTAAGCACAGCATATGTAAGACCTCTGAGACACCAATGTGCTGCTTGCTTGGTGACTCAAATGAAACAATGGAATATCTCAGTGGATGCAGAGAGCTTGCCCAGGCAGATTATAGGAAGCGCCACTGCAAGGTAGCTCTACGGGTACACTCGGAGCTGTGCAGAAAGTATTGTTATTATTCATTCAAAATATTTCACCGAATCTGATTGGCTAAAAGCACACGTTTAATTCACCATAACCAGTTACTGTTGACCAAATTTGGAAGAAATTTGACTTTTAACGAGGAAATGACGTCAAAAATGCAGCTTTTCGCAGGTTAAGGCACCGTTAACCGAGAAGACCTGGGGACGAGGTTGAGTTGTTTTGGTTGGGAACTTGAAAAAATGGCGGACATTTCACTCGTTTCAAGAGTAAGAACTAGGCGAAAACATGGCTAAAAACATGGAAAGAACAGCAAGAAGACAACTCGAAGGGCGACATCTGCTATCTGGAGAATATTTGCGGAGCTGGACAAACCTAAACGTACAGTATCGAAGATGAACTGAACATCGATGGATCGATGGAGGTAAGCATGTTTTTAGCTATGTTTTTAAACTAGGAAATATTTTGAATGAATAATAAAACAGTTATTGAATTCGGCTTTCGTATCATATGAAGAATTATGGAGATCTCGGAGGGTGTTATCCGCCTCGGCCTACGGCCTCGACGGATAACACCCTCCTCGATCTCCATAATTCTTCATAAGATACTCAGCCTCATTCATTAACTGTTAATTCACCAGTCATTTGAAACCCCCGGACCCCCCCCCCTCGGGGATGACCGGGGTATTGCGGGGACATTCACTTCATGTTCACCAAATATTGGTTCCCCGGTAGTCGGGGGATACGCTAAAAGTCACGGTCTTTGCCTCCCGGACCGGGGGATAAGCGGGGCAGTCACTTTATGGTCAGCGGTTTTCATTTTCGCGCCGCATACTAATTCCGCATGATTCCGCATACATTTTCATCGCTTCGTACCGTGACGATGTTTTGCAAAGTTAAATATCGAGGCGTAAAAAAAGCGGTCATAGCCGATGACTTGAAGAGTTTGGTGAACAAAGGTAGGCATATTTTCACTGATATTATGTAGATTTGTAATTATAATATGCTTTAAAATGCATCTAATGCACCGATACCATCTTATTCGCGAATTCTTCATAAACACTTGACCTGGCTTGACCTATCGACAGCTAGAAACGACACTTAAAGCTTAAACTATGCATTTTTTTGCGCTCTTTGGCTTGATATCAAAGTGAGCATAACTTTTCTATAACTTCCCTTCTGTTTGGATTTCGATACATTGACCAAAAAGCTATGAAAAGGGGTTTATGAAAAGTTTTTATATTCCGATCACGCATGCTTTCAGTCACGTGCCAGATCAGCCAACGCGAAATTCGATCCATACAACTTCGTGCTTCCTACGCATTCTTTTATAGGGCTTTTTGCATTTGGTTGGTAAAATTCGATAGGTATAATTTATAATTTTGTGATCTTGCTTTTTGTGACATCAAGATGTAAAATAGAAAGATGACGCTGAAATCTTTAAATACTTGTCTTTTCTTGTCTATCGAGGGGTTGCAAGTGTTGCCATTGCTGCTGCGAAAGCAAGTTGTTAATTTCACGGCTGTCATCCTATATGTCATCTCTTGCTACTAGTTGACGTTTGAAAGGGAGTACCTTGTATGTTGGACATATGGGGGCGGGGGAGTTCACCATTCACTTTTGCCCCAGGGACCGGGGAGTTCACTGGCTCTCACATGCATAAAAAGTGAATGCCCCGCTAATGCCCGAGGGGGGGGGTCCGGGGGTTTCAAATATCATATGAAGAATTATGGAGATCTCGGAGGGTGTTATCCGCCTCGGCCTACGGCCTCGACGGATAACACCCTCCTCGATCTCCATAATTCTTCATAAGATACTCAGCCTCATTCATTAACTGTTAAGTTAGAGTGTACTGACAAGTGGTACGACCATAAACCCTTTTCAGTTGCAGAGAATCGAAAAGTAAGTGAGGATAATTTAGGATATGACTATCTGAACCACAGGCAAGCGGCTAAAGCACAATCGGTCAAGTATTACGGTAGTACGCAAAGGCACACAGGAGTGGACACTTAGCGATATTGCTGTGTCAAAGGACCAAAATATCCTTACTACTGAGTAGGAGAAGGTGGAGAGGTATCAAGACCTGGCGCTCGAAATTAAAAGAATCCATAGAGCCTCGAAAGTGGCAGCAACAACCATCATGATTGGTGTACTTGGAACTATCTCGAAGAATGCAAAGGCCTGGTATTGGAGGTTAAGTCTGCCTGACGTTTTTTGGAAGTGCACAGTTGTCAGCAACCCTTGCATTAGCACTGCTCTTATCTTGATGAAAGTGCTGTCTCTAAGCTACAGGAAGCTTCTGAGGCATGGCTGAGAAGTCCCGAGGAAAACACCAGAGAACTGGAGAGAATCGCACATCATTAATTAAAATGTTTTTACAGCAAGCTCAACTAGCTCACCATGGCGGTTTTCAGTGGGACCCTCCATTTGGGGTGTTTAACTTGACAAATTAAGTGGCCAGCCCAGCAAACGGAACCAACCCGGATCACTATAATCCATCCCTTAGATTCGATTTCCGAGGAAACTTTTTAATGACCATTTTTGTACGAGATAAATAATGCGTCCCATTATCCGTCTAGGCGAATCTGGTTATGCGCTCGGGTACAAAGAAGGGGGAAAGCTCTGAGACGCATCATGCGTCTAGACGAACCATCCTTCGGTCAGATACTCCTTCGACGCACCACGGAAGGTAGTTCGTCTGGACGCATAATGCATCTTTCGCCCGTCTTTGTACTCAAGACGCATAAAAAGGTGAACTTCAAATTGTTTGCCAAAGTTCGTCCGGACGGTTAAAAGGTTAAAGGCAAACGAATTACAAGGTTACAAATGCAAATGTATGAATATTTTCAAATTTCATTTTATTCCTTAGCCTGAATTTTGATTCTCGAAGTAAATTTGAATACGATCTCCCCTCAGTTTCAAATACTTTTATCATCCCATTTAATTTCTTTTGATTGAGCCTTTTTGAATTACCGTAAAAATATGAAATTAAGAAGGTGCTGTTTATGAGGTTATTGAACAAATAGTATCGAATTGCATTTCACACCAGTCATCTGATTTATATTTGCCGCAATTTAAATTGGCGTTTTATTGGCGTGAAAGGATTCCTGAACAATTTGTGAGAAATGAAGATATTTTATAAGCAGCAAAGATTTGGTTCATTGGGCAAGGCGTTACAGCTTTGATTTCTTTCGTTGTCGTTAGATAGCATATGAACACTTCATCGTGATGGAACTGGCGAAAATCTAGAAAATGATCTGAGATATAGTGCATGCTTATCAATGACAGGGGCTCTACAGGAGGTAAAGTCGTTATAAAGTTTTAAGAGATACCCGAAAGCACCTGCCTCACTTAAGCCAAAAAAGATACGACCATTAAGCAGCAAACAAGAAGAATCTTGATAGCAAGAAACAACGTAAACGGCCTTTTTAAGATAAGAAAATTGAATTTTTCTTTGGTTTTATTACTGGCTTAAAGTCAGTAATTTTGATTATTGCCGTAATCAAATTTCCTTTTATTCATTAGTTGGAATTTTAATTCTGGAACAGAGTTTGAATATGATTTCCCTTCGGTTTCAAATATTTTCATTATCCCATTTAACCTCTTTCCTAATATTCGATGTTATGCTTTTAATTTATTTCTGTATTTTTTCTGATTTAACAACTAATGTCAAAGTTCAGTGTGCAAGGTACAGCGGTACACTTGCGGATGCTTCTGATTACGATACAACTCTCTTCTCTTTGTTTCGAATCTGAGTCCGATCATACAGGTTTACTTCCGAACGGCGAGGAAAATTTTCAGTATTTCTAGTAATGTTTTTAAGCTGTGGCCAGAATAAACAGAGTGCGAGCAGACCATTAAATATCGCAATAAAAAGAGGTTACCTTTCAATGCACAAATATTCAAATTCAAAGACGTTTTGTTGTTGAGTAAGCAAGGTAGTTACATTTGAAGATCGAAAGGTGAGGCAATCAATCAAAAGTATAATAGTCTTTCATACACTTACCAACTTATTTCAGCATACATTATCTCGATTAAATCGCATATACAATACACCTACATCGGCAGACATTTTAAAAAGCGAATCTTCCACGCTAATGAATAAAAAACGGACCATATGCCATGGTGAGTGGAGGAGTATTGACTAAATAATTAACATTTTTAAAGGAAACATTCTTCATTTTTTTTTTTACCTAAGTAAATACAATTTTTAACGTCACAAATCGCGGGAACCCAGCATTTACATAAATCAAACTGCTTTAGATGACCTACAATGTTATGTTTACTTCGGGCAAGAAATATGTTTTCCATTGTTCACTGAAGAATCCCAAGACTTGCAAGACAAGGATCAGAGTGGTACTGCCTTATCACAGCTTGTTTGTCTGTCTGTAACATAGCCGGCGGCACACTTAGAAAATTTGAGGCCCTTTTTGTTCCAAAAACACCAAGTGCTGCCTGCTTGTATCTCTCCTCATAAGTTTTCGCTTGCTCTCCCTCGCGTTCATAGGTAATTAAAATTTCTGGCGTCAAATAAGTCATGTTTTTTCTCCTGCTTTTTCCTGTTGTGTTGTTGTAACCTCCATTCTCTGGGCTCTCTATTAAAGCATCTGGTATCTCTCCTTCACTCTTTGAACACAACATAATTCATCAGTCATTTCAGGGAAACCTTTGCATTTAACTTGTACTCAAGAGAAACTGTCGTAGCCGACTCTACCGAATGATTTAAAGAGAAATTCGAGGCCTTGACGATCGAGCTACGAGTCGGTGATAAGGACGTTTCCTAACAACACAACAACTACTGGTGAATAAGGCTTGGAAAGGGTTCTATTTATATAGAGCATGAACATGAACAATTCATGTTATGACTTCCGAAAGCGCGTCTGTTCACTTGCGAAAAAGCGCGAAAATTCCCCGACCTCACCCGAAGTTGTGACGTACGTCACTGGAGTGACGTCGCTAACGACGCAAGAAAACCAATGAATGTCGACAAAGTCCATCGACGATTATTTTCGCTTGATTTTGACTTTAACTAATTTCGTAAGTCCTTTCTAATGCAAATTTGGAAACGGATTTTTGGAAATCATCAGTCTCTTAGTAATGGTCCTTATTTTGACTTAAGTTTTAAATTCGCTGTAATTTGAAAACTTCCGAGCGCACCGTAAATACAACCGTACATGGTAAATAGAGCTTGAAAGTCAAACACAAAAATAAAACCAAGATTGGATCCATTTGGGACGACGTCCGTTCGTTATTATTTACTTACGCTCCTGTCAAAATATTGGAATTATACATTTAGAACTGTCGAAAGAAGCTTTGCACGCTACGTAATCGCGTCCGTATAGCTTTTTGAAAGCAAATATACCAATCCAAAAATGGCATAATTTAGTCTGCATTCAAATCTATGTAATTATGTCAAACATGTGGAAAAAACCATACAAGGAAATAATACGAAAATAGAATTTAATCGAAAGAACTGAACAACACACTTATCTGAGATACAACAACAGGTTTTTTAAGAGACTAATTTTCCTATTGTGGCTTAGTTCGAGGAAATTTAATATGGCATTTTACGTTTTATGATATCTGACAAACAAACTAAAGGATCTTGGATTTTCCATGTATGCAAAAACCGTGTCTCATGCGTTTCCTCTAATGATGCGAACGGGTTGGGAACGGCAAAAAATAACAAGTAAAGCAGCGTAGCGCGAAGTTAGGGCACAGAATTTAATACATATTTATATTCGTATTCAAATACTGTCGCGTCCAATATTCGTTTGCGTGGTCAATACGATATTTATCACAGCGCGGTGAAATAACATGAAATACAACTTGGGTGTTACGACAAAAAGTAAGTGAGAACACCAGCTGATATTGGAATTGTCAGTCAGTACGACTGTGGCGTTCGCTGTTGCGTGTATTGACCTCAAAGTCTGATAAATGTTATATCATAGCGTCATATTATAGCGCATGGAATAAAGATTGCTACCAAGTGTCGTATTAAAGAAATTATTTTATGACTAAATAATCCATCTGCTTGTGCATTTGTTCAATTTAATCACGATATGACAGTTTGACCATCAGATATAAGGTGGCCTAATATTTTCCTAAAGTTTATCACCTCGGTTAAAAAATAGCTTATATCTACATCTTAATTTTCGAGTAAGAGCTGGAGATGTATTTCTTATAGAGGGGTTTTATTTACGCAAACACACTTCCCAATGTTGTTCATCTTGAATGTAAATGAACCGTGGATTTTGCGATTGTTTTTCTGGATTCTCTTTTCCTGTCATTTCGTTTTTCCCTTTTAATCACTGAACCCCTTGAAGGCGTATGATTGTTATTATGTCTTAGGCAGAAGGGAACTGAACGGTAAACACTCTCATGAAAAAAATTGTCCTGGAGCTCTCGTCAGTTGTTTTTACATCGGCGGCGAAGAAAAACACAGATCACACACTGTGCTCGCCCGAAAAGGGAAACAATTATACCAAAACTCCAAATCGCAGATAGCTTCAAAACAACACCAAATTTAATTCGAATGTTCGCGTAAACACTTTTCGTTAATAGGTCCTCACGAAACGCTAAAGATTGAAATGAAAATTTGGTCTGGTTTTGGTCTCCTACAGCCAGCCAGCCAGCCAGCCATTGCTAAACATTTAAATACATTTAAGGTTGCTTTCACAGTTATCTCAGACTACTTACTTTTTTATTTTTAAAAAATTTTTTTTATTTTTATTTTTAAAAAAAGCTCCACTAAGATTCTTTTGGTCTATAGAAAATTAGTACTTTTTGCAGAAGACTTAGCAATTACTAGAAATAACATCGTCATCGTATAAGGTAAAACAAATTAACTAACATTTTTAAAATCAATGATAAATTTTAAAAGCCAGAAAACAGGCGATAAAAATAAAGGGAAAGGACATCCTTTTTTTCTGTTCTGCGCAGTAAAAGTTTGAGCGAGCCATCAGAATACACAGGGAAGCTAGTGGCTAGTATATTCTCAAAATCACCAATTATACAACTTGCTTACCACCCCCCCCCCCCCCCCCACACACACACACACACCAACACCCTCCCCCCAAAAAGCATCGCGCAGAATGAGTGGAAATCATTAATTATTCATAACCGCCGAAGTGGCAAATTCGAATGCACGAGCGCGTTGAATAAGCTCCGAATGAGAGAAGAATGGGCCATTTTTGGTCCACCAGCGCTGATAAAACTCCTTGGCGCGACTTCGTTAGCTCCAAAATCACAGAAACACGGACGGAATATCAAAAATGAATGATTTATCTACGGTTTAAGCACAAAATACATAAATTTTACGTAGCAGAAGGACTATCCCTCTGCACTTGAAAATTGCTAAAAAGAGGCCATTTTTTGTTTGGAAGCTGACTTTGGGGGCGACTTTCTGGAAACCAGTAACAAAATCCTCAAAACCACGGACAGAATGTGTAAGATTGCTCTTTCCTTAAACAGAATACGTTTTAACTTTAAAATTTATGGACAAGAACCACTATCTCTGCGAGTTTGAAAAAGTCTGGTAGAAACGCAGCGTACCTAGGGCCAGCGAGCTATTGTTTTAAGCGCATGGGGGTCTTTCATGCGAATGGTGGGCGCCCTAGAAACCACCGCCGACCAGGAGGCCAGAGGACTCAAAGTACAAGACTAGATTGATGTAAGGAGACGAGCTACGATATTGATAATGTCGTGACATAAGAAGTGTTCTCACTTTTAATTAAATTTGAAACGTTTTAGGTATATCATATATTTTGTGCAAGTAAATCATTGAGGCGGTGCGGCCAAATGCCCCTTTCAAGGGAAAAATACGGCACGCTTCACGAAATATAAAATGTATTAAATTAAATAAATAAATAGTCCCTTGATACCGCCAACACCAACTTTTCAAACCCCACGCTGGTATTACTTCTTTGCATTTAAGCTTAATAGGATTGCTTAATCCATTTTATTATTCATTCAAAATATTTCCCTGATTCTGATTGGCTAAAAACACTCGCATAATTCACCATAACCAGTTACTGAAGACCAAATTTGGAAGAATTTTGTGTTTAACGAGGAAATGACGTCAAAAATGCAGCCCGCTACAGGTTAAGGCACCGTTACCGAGAAGACCTGGGGACGAGGTTGAGTTGTTTTGCTTGTGAAAACAAAAATGGCGGACACTTTACTCGTTTCAAGAGTAAGAACTACAGCTGGAACTAGGCGAAATAACAGCTAAAAACATAGCAAAGACAGCTAGAAGACAACTCGGAGGGCGACATCTGCTATTTGGAGAATATTTGCGGAGCTGGACAAACCTAAACGTATACTATCGAAGATGACCTTAACATCGATACAGGTAAGCATGTTTTAGCTATGTTTTTAAACTAGGAATCATTTTGAATGAATAATAAAGCAATTAATGAATTCAGCTTTCTTAGGATATGAAGAATTAAGCAGATCTCGGAGGGTGTTATCCACCTCGGCCGAGATAACACCCTCCTCGATCTGCTTAATTCTTCATATCCCACTCAACCTCATTCATTAATTACTAAATAACAACGAGTATTATAGAAAACTCCGTTCTACGGAGCAATTGCCAGTTTCCCTTGACATTGAATTGTCGTGGAGAGTATCACCTTGGCTATGTAAATAAATTTTGAACTGTACAATCAATAATTCAATTGAGCTTTTTCCCTTGTGAAACTTTATGAGAATAGAAAAACGTAAACCTGTAAAAATATGAAGATATGCTAAGATATATAAATATCGAGATAAGATAATACGTAACTTTTCAATTTTATATCACTTGAAGTATCGGTAATAAGCAATACCGAGTGGTAAAAGATTACAGATTTTATGCCAAAAGTTATTTTTCAGATAATTAGAAAAAGCCAAATTGTGTTTCATATAAGAATTTTGGGTTTATGCTCGGTGTAAGATTTTACGAGACTCCCGAGTAACTCAAACTGGACAAGCACATAAACCATACTCCACAAGACAACAATAAACACAAGTTCTTACACCGAGGTAAAGCCGAATTTGTGGTGTTGACCTTTTTAAAGCTGTAAATGATGGCAAATAAACTAGAAAACATTTTCATTGAAGAGGCGATGTTAGCTTTTGAACACATCCCAGGATTTACGGAAGCCTTGTGAGTTCCAGTACTGCTCGGTTTGCATCTCGGTGAGGCGAGAGATGGTGCGCTCAAAAGCAAAAATCTCTTCCTCTGCCGTAAATATCGCGCTGGACTGGGCATCAGCCTAAAATGTGATGATAGATGGTTAAAAATAGCCTGAAAAGTTATGATAGATGGCTGAAAACGGCCTCAAAAGTTTTGTTCCTGATGGGCACAGGAAAGTCATACATTTTCAATTTTTTCGTTTTTTGCAGGACCATGGCGTGTTGAAACCCAGAAATGGAAGAAACCCAGAAACCCTATGGCAACGTGACGTAACAACTTGTCTCTGTTTACGTCAAAATTGCTTACCGCTGACAAATCCAGATCGTCCATGAGTTTTCTTTTGAATTCGTCATCTTCGTTGGTCAGCGGGGTAACGTTGAAAATGTCTCCTAATGGCGTGCTTGCCGAACATATAAGTCGAGTCTAGACAAATAAGAATAAAAAGTGTTCAAGTAAATAACCA